ATCATTTCAAGGGTGCTTAAGCTAGCTATTTGAGGATCAAGCCATAGTCTTGTGAATGGAAGAAATGGGTAAATATACTAGATATGATTTTGTATTTAACAAGAAGATTTATCGAGCTGATCTCGCTCCTGTAGAGGCTAAACGATAGGCAAACGAGAACTTCAATATTTCTCTATAAATACCCAAGTTAGATGCATACCACATTGATGTTTGCTGCTGATTCTTGGTAGCCTGATCTCCACAAGATCATCTGCTGTCTAAGGGTTACCGGCTGTGTTATAATTATAAGTAATATTAATACTTTAATTACCAACACAAGAATACCTGAATACATTAAATACACAAGAATTCACAAAAATACTGAATACATTAAATTAAGGCTATTTAAATGAGGTTCTAGCCTTGGTATCAGAAATTGGAATTGACCATTTCTCCAAGTTTATTTTTGTGGACGCTTTAAGGATAATATAAAAGATCGAATTACAGTTTCGGCCTATCTACGTCATAATTAATTTAAGAAGAGTAAATAGTAATTTATGTTGGCCTAAATAATTGGTTTACATTATGTGCTGCTTTTTTTTATACTTTGTCACTTACTTAATATACTATGAGAGGGTTAATTCCAAACTTTGGTACCAATAATAGGCTATCAAGAATCCAGCATTCTGATTGGATATGAATAACATGATCTATGGATATTAGATGATGGTCCACTTAGAATAGGAGAAAACATTGTGAAAAAGGTACTTTTTTTGGGTGTTCATATCTGAAATCCCGGGTCCACTCGACCTTGTGGTACTATTTCCAAAATAGCAAAGGAGGTGAACAATTGTTGGTATACATAAGATAGAAATTAAAACTGCTCAAAAAAATTGATAACTAAAACTTCTCAAAATATCTGCAGCCTAAATATAAAGTTTTCGTCTTACATCAAGCTCACTTTGTTCTTGAGGAACATTTCTTAACCGCAGCATTATTTCAGTCTGTTGCACCTGTTGCTTAATCCCACTGATCGACMTGCGGGGATACTGAAAAATATAAGGTAAACCTTTACTTTTATTGACGTTTTCTAGCTAGCTATTTGAGGATCAAACAATCATCTTGCGAATGGAAGGAATGGGTAAATATACTAGAYGTATTCTTGTATTTTACTGTATCTATATATTATTATTTTTACCTGCTGGTTGTTGTGGAGTTGTCCAAGCATTGAMAATGCCGAAGGACTTTGACTGTCACTCCCTCCTTCCTAAGCAAACAAATTAAATCATTTGAATGATCATTAAAAATAGTCGTAGTGCCTTTAAATAGCTACAATGTTATTAGTTTACTCTAAATGAGCGAAAAGTGTTATATTCATAATAGTTGCCCACTAGCTTTCGAGATATAATTCAGAGGATTCATCCAAACTGCAATTCGCGAATTTTGTTAGTTCATTCGTGATGGAGAGGTTGTAAATCATCTCAGTTGGTACCAAGATTTTAGTACAAATTTTTCAGAAACTTTATAGAACCATACGACAAATATTAGTCAGTTTTTATTGACAATATTTTCTGTATGGAGTTGAGTTGTTAAGTTACAGCTACGTTTAACTGTACTTGTACAGAAGTCGAATAGTTGGTTTGTTTTGCTTTGATTTAGTTAATTGGTTTGGTTTATGTTTAGTTCATTTTGGTTTGGTTTGGTAATAGGTTAAGTAATTGTTTTATGGGACAAGCCAAATTCGACTAAACCAATGGATGCAATAGATCTTCCTCCTGATGCTCCTAACCTCCTGATAACTGAAGTGCAATTTAAAAACAAAATAAAAACTGACTTTAAATCTAAAATCGTTGCTAAAATTAGATAGCATGGCCATGATGCGACTTTTAAAATATACAACTCGCTTAACTTTTCAAGCATTTCAAAATAACCTTAAGTTTACGTTTTTTTTAGTCAGATAGGACAAAGTGGGTCTCATTATATTTCGGAAATATGTTCAAAACCCTTTGCTTGTAAATGGCAAACTAATCGTCTGATATCGATTGGMAATGTTTAGGGGTCCCTTCTAGACCACACAAGTAACTGTTTAGGGTGTAAAAGGTGGTTCTTTGATCGGTTAGTGTTGTGTCAACACTCTTTAAATGCATGGGTTTTTGTTAATAAATGATGATGGTAAGAGGTTTCTAGTCATGTATTTAGGTTTATCTGTCTATAGTTGCTACGTGGGGATAGATCGCTAAATTGCTTGGCCATAACCTGACAATCTTGATATTGGTAGTTTAGGCTATGCATGAAAAAAAAATAATAATCAAAGAGATCATCAGTTTAACAGGTATATTTCTAGTGTACGTACCATCAAGCGAAACTTGAACTTCCAAGAACTAGATTTACAATTTGTATGCTGTACGCTACTACTCTCTTCGATACTTCCTAGGAAAGTTACTAAGTAGGCACACTCGATCTCTTACATGCTGTAAWTAAGCCAACATGAATTGTTCCCCCTATTTTTATTGTGATTGCTTCAGATTTCTTGGTGAAAATAGGAATGAATTCCCATTCAGTATAAATGCTAGTAAGCAGAACACYACACATGGTAAAATTCACTATTGTTGCAGTGCTGATTGAACAACCACTTGTTTCAATTCGAGATCGAAAGTATTTCCTTTTATTATAGAATTTACTCGGAGAAAACGTAAAAAATCCGATGTATATAGTGAACAGACCTTACTATTAAARATGACTGAGTCAGTCAAGATTTTTTCTAGACTGGAAATTTTACGTATACATAACTGTGGTTCAGTATAGCTGCGAAAGAAAATTCCCTATGTAACATCTAAAATGCGGCAGTGATAAAGTTATGTATTATAAAAACTTGAAATTTAAACAAAGTGATAAACAAAGCCTTCCATCATAGTGTCGACTCTTCATAATGGCATGTGGGATGGTACTTTGTATGACTTATGTGCAGCTAACGGACTGATAAAAGTCTTCAAAAAATTACAGACTTATTAAAACAAAATTTAAAAATACTTACTGGAATTTTYGTGCAATAAAGATGGACGAATTGTTCGTGTACAATATTTGAATACGTAATTAGTTTGCTTCCTTTCTAAAATCCTAATATGGAAAAGASCTTTTAGGCTCGCAAAGGATGATACCTACGTAAAGAATTGAAATTTATTATAATCTATACGAATAATTTGCATTAATTAAATCTTTATACACATTATTTCCATTCTGAGTTTTTCTTACTTGTTTTCTAAATTTTGTTCCTATTTATTGATACTAAATATTTAGCGTTTTCAAACCAATTGTAAATATAAAAAAATATATAGCACAATATGCCTATATGATTTCTTTCTCTGCATGATGTAGCATCCTCCACAATATTTTGATATATTGATATTTAGTTCAGCGGAGCAATACTTCTACGAATAGCTGTCAAAACATGTCATGTGATTGGACTGCATAACACTGTGACAACAGCAGGAGTTCTGACCCTAAACAGGCTATCGTTGACTACTGGCTACCTAAGAAATAGTAACACAGCTTACACAGGACTGCATTAGGTATTTTCAGAACTTTTTGTTATTTCCAAACTGTGGCATCTTGACATCTTTTTAAGCAAACTATTCGTCTTATACGGTTGACGCTGAAGCTTACGTGTCTTTATATACAGTTCGTAAGATTGTTTAATTACTATTAACTTCATAAATACTTCAGGTGATAACCGTTATATTCAATCACCTGTATTAGAGTTATCTCATTCCCTTATACCCATTACAAAAGGATTGCTGACAGTTGCGTGAGTCGCATGACAAAAAAGACAGTCATTAGTTTAATATGAGTGATATTTAATAAATAGTGTCTGAGTGGTACAAAATATTGCTTTGTCAATAGTTCTCCACAAACTAGCAATGCCATACATGCGATGGCATAGATCGAGGTTAAGAACCAATTCAAACGTCTGCGTTACATGCATGCATTGTCGATCCGAACTTTGCACTAAATAATTTATATGAATATATCTTTTTTTCGGAAAAAAAGTGTGGATCCGCAATTGCTATTCGTTTCTTTTTGAATCGACATAGTAATCACTCATCATATCAACTCAATGGCAAAATTAGTTCACAATTTTACTCAAATCTGTTTTAATCTAATTAATTACATATCGATATTTTTTATCTTTTGTCTTAACTTAATTTTATTTTATATGCAACTTCAATTTAATAATGTAATTATGTGGTAGAATTTTGAATTCTGTGTTTAATGAACTTATTTACTATTATTATTATATCGATATGAAAATTTATAGGTAACACCTGATAGCTGAGCTCCAACACCATCTGCATAGATATCCTTAGTAGAGGTAGGCTGCTTCAAGTAATGAAAGCGAAATTTTTGACATCTTGATATACATGTATTTTGCAGAATCAAGCACTGCTCCTAGGAACAATTTAATTTTCCCATTCACAGATGGTTATCAGAGTCAGATTGAAAACTCGGGTGAACTTACAAATCGTGAATAAATAGTTCTCATGTGCAATACGTAAAGCAAATAATACGAAACAATTTAAAAAAACATTGCATTGCATAAAAGATAAAAATAATACATTACATAAAAGATGAAAAATGTTACATTACATAAAAGATATAGAGGATATTA